CCCAATTCTCATTCCCCCCCCCAACACCCCCCCTCTCCCGGAAACTGAACTCTGGCCTCTGCACAATCCATCTTCAGGATCCTTCCAAATGCTATGAACATGTCTCACCATGCCCTATATCTCCAAAAAAAACTTTTGGAAAACAAAACAAAACTCATCCATCATTCAGAACCAAGTTCAACCATTACTATTTTGTAAAGTACTGGCTTCATTCATACAAAATGAATGTCCCCTCTTTTGTATGCCCCACATCCTCATGCTTAGTTTACCTCGGGACAGTACTTAATGGCTGTCCCATCATAAAGACTACATTTCTGAATTATAGCACATTTATGTCTCTGTCCCCTAGACAAGTGTCGGGTTTGAAGTACTAACTATGGTGAATTTTCCAAACTAAACTATTTTTTTTACACTTTCAAAGTTACAAACAAAGCAGGATGTGCAACATGGCACTTTGTGAAAACGTTTACTAAATTCATTTGTTCCTAATTCAAATTTTCAAAAGAGCTGTATAGTTGTATTTTAAGGAACTTTTAAGGTTTAATTCAAAGCTTCATTAAACTACAGACTCCTCAAGGAAATGGCCAGTTTCTTTGGATCCTACAACATAACAGACACCAATGGTTGCTTAACAAATGAAAGCTACCTTTGGTGTAGTCTAAAACTAAACAAAATAGCATTATAACCTCAACAATCTTTCTAGCCCAGGGAAAAGGTTAGGCTTCCGTTAAAACTCCAACTATTTTTTTTTTTTTTTAGCAAATTCTCAATTTTTCCCTGACTATCTTCAAATCATCACATCCTTCCCCCTTCATGAATTCCACCCCTGAGTAATGTCTTTCAAAGAACTGCAAACTACCTTTCTACAAATGAGGCATACCAAATTTAGAACTTAAATTCCAGGCTTAAAGAAACAAAGGAAGTATACAGCCCAATGCTGTCTCAAGAGATCATCATCTTGGAACAAAATAATCACACCACTGAACACACATACACTCCTAAGTCTTAGAAATGGGAAGGAACATGCCCATTCGTTGAACCTCTTACCTAACCAATCTTTACTACACCATCCTTGAAAGATACTGTTCCACCTCCTGACTGACTACTTGGTTCCTTTACATTGTAAATCCCTTATTAAAGTAAATACTCTGAATTTTTAGGCAGTTGATTTGATAGTACACACAGGCTTGAAAGCTTAAGGAGAAACATTTCATTTTGATTTCTCTGCCACTGATAACATATCACTGAAAATCTTAAGCAACCTTCAAGATAAAAAGCACACCCCAGTGCTGGAGAGCATTAGCAGCTCTTCCAGAGGTCCTGAGTTCAATTCCCAGCAACCACATGGTGGCTCACAGCCATCTATAATGGGATCTAATGCCCTCTTCTGGCATGCAGATATATAATGCAGATAGAGCACCATATACATAAAATAAACTTAAAAAAAAAAAAAAAAAGCACCTCCAGATCACTTCCAAACTCTTGAATGAAATACAACTGTTCCGATTAGGGGACTACTCACACAGTAACACAATCACTGTGAAAGAAAAAGCAGCTGTCGGATTTCAGGTTCACGGCCCTGGAGAGACAATCTCATCTCCCTTTAATAGGTCCAAATTGGTCACCTGGAGTCCCCCAGCTTACTTCGTTTACTCAAATTCCCTAACCTGAGACAGAGACTCAAGTATCTTAGGAGCCTTTCCCCTCTATAATTCTGCCTATAAAGCAAGCATCATTAATAGGAAGCATGAGGGTTGGGGAGATTGCTCAGAGGTTAAGAGCACCGACTGCTCTTCTAGAGGTCCTGAGTTCAATTCCCAGCAACCACATGGTGGCTCACAACCATCTGTAATGAGATCTGGTGCCATCTTCTGTTGTACAGGCATACTGTATACATAATAAGTAAATAAATCTTTAAAAAAAAATATATAAGTGCTGGGTGGCAGTGGCACACAACTTTAATCCCAGCACTCAGGAGGCAGAGCCAGGTGGACCTCTGTGAGTTCGAGGTCAGCCTGGTCTATAGAGTGAGATTCAGGACAGGCACGAAAACTACACAGAGAAACCCTGTCT